CCACAACACACGTCCAGATTCAGGCGTTATGAAATAACTCATTTACTACCTAGGCTACCAGCCGGGCCGCCCGGGTCCCGGGTGGCCAGCCCGTGCAAGGACCAGGGAAGGTCCCAGAAAAAAAAAAAAAAACGAAAACTCCAAAAAATCCGAAAAAACAACAATGTTATGCAGAAAAATAAACTGAACAACTTTTGCCTCAGGGTCACATTGAAATTCCTTACCAAATTAAAAACAAAAAAACAAAAAACTTGAAAATAATTTATTATTTTTATTTTTTTTGGCCTGGCCAGGCAAGTGACCCTGGGCCGCTCTGGTAGCCTAGTTTACTACCGTAATCTTTTTTTTTTTTTTTTTTTTAACACAATCAGTTCATTATAAAACATCAATTACTACTTTCTACCGTAATCTTCTTTTTTTTTTTTTTTTTTCCAAACACAAGCAATTCATTATAATTTTATAAAACGGTATTAAACCTCAATTACTACCTAAAATTTCTAACTTTTTTTTTTTTTTTTTTTTTTTTTTTTTCGCCATTTTGTCAGAACAACTTGACGAATTGAATATTTGCCAATCTTTGGGCGAATTCGAGCCCCTGCGCCAAGTCCCACTACGACCATTGAGTTTTTCTTTAACGTCCGAACGTGGCCGTGTTTGTGGAGAGGTGCAGAAAATCGCGTTGAGTTTCCTCAACCCCCATCCCCCCATCTCCACAAACACGTCCAGATTCCGGCGTTGAGGGAAAAATTATATCATGCTAGTGGGACTTGGCATCTGGGTGAGGTCTAACCATAAAAAAAGAGTAAATGTTGGAAAAAAAAAAAAAAAAAAAACCCGGCTGAATCTGGGTGTGTTTGTGAACAGGTGAAGAAAAAACCCATCGACTGCTTTTTTGCATCTCTCCACAAAAGACATCTAGATTCATTCGGTTTTCTGCATCCAATCCTCTGTGCTAGTAGTGGAACATTGACCCCGGTCTTTTTCTTTCCAAGTCGGGATCCTAGCAATCGAACCGGTATATTTGGCACAGAGGATTGAATTTCACGTCTTAATCTGGATGTCTTTGTTGGAGACGTGCAGAGCATCGCAATGAATCTGCGTTTCTGCATCTCTCCATCAAACACATCCAGATTCAGGCGAGTCATCCCGATCCTCTTTGCTAGTGTGACCTCTGTCCCGGTGTGACGTCTCTCTAGCAACGAGGATTGGATTAAGCGCTCTGAATCTGGATGTGTTTCATGGAGAGATGCAGAAAAGGAGATCAATCTCGATTTTGTGTACCTCTCCACAAACACGCCCACATTTAGGCGTTCAATCCAATCCTCCTCGCTCGTGGGACCTGACCCCCCGGGGCGAGGTCCCACTAGCAAAGAGGATTGGATTGAGCGCCTTGATTTGGCCGCGTTTGTGGACAAGTGCAGAAAATCGAGATTGAACTCCTTTTCTGCATCTCTGCCTAAAACACGCCCAGACTCAGGATCTTAATCCGAACCCCGTTGCAAGTGGGACCATGCTCCCGGTCTTCTTCTTCTTTCTCAATTCCTGATTCTCGCAATCGCACAGGTGTTTTCTTTTTCCCCGGAAAACAAAAGTTATTTATTTATTTATTTTTTGGGACCGGTGTATTTGGCACAACCGCAAACGAGGATTCATCTTGGAGTGACTAATCTTTCTCTTTTCTTTCTTTCTTTTTTTTTCTCCAGATGACTACGCTACTGGGTTTCTGATTTACTAGCCGTTGCAATTTGTTATTTAAAAAAAAAAAAAAAAACGTACCGACGAACTTTTTCCGTTTTTTGCAAAAAAATATATAATAAAAAAAATCCGGTCTTTCCGCTTCAAGTCTTCATCTTGGAGTGACTAATCTTTCTCTTTTCTTTCTTTCTTTTTTTTTTCTCCAGATGACTAAACTATTTGGTTTCTGATTTACTTATCGTTGTGCTTTGTTAAGTAAAAAAAAAAAAAAAAAAAAAAGTACCTAGTCCACTTTTCCCGTCTTTTGCAAACAAAAAAATCAAATTAAAAAAATCCGGTCTTTCCCCTTCAAGTCTTCATCTTCGGTTCTTATTCGTTTCCTACTTTTCTTTCTTTCTTTCCTTCGTTTCCTACTTTTCTTTCTTTCTTTCCTTCGTTTCCTTGTAGACAGATGCGAAGGTATGCCCTTTCCGCTCTCTCTCTCTCTCTCTCTCTCTCTCTCTCTCACACACACACACACACACACACACACAC